GCAAGTTAAGAATTATAATATATTGATTTAGTTGACCTTTTAAGTTGCAAAAAATGTTTTATGAGTTTTGTTACATCTACTAAAGAAACTGAAAAACCTTTTGTATTTGGCTTCTGAAGTTCATAATGTTGTCAGGATGATTCCCCAGCTACTTGTAGAGAGCTAGAATACAGATGACATATTTTGAGTATACATACTGAAGTGGTGATGTTTGGCTCGTTGCCTGTGCCTTTTGTAGCACTTAGTCATCTGGATGGAGCACATTTTTAAGGGGAAGCCAGTAAATGTCACTTTTGAAATATGTTATTTCCTGGTTCTAGTCAGTATCACTGCATACTCACTATCGTACTGATGCCCCAGTGATGTACAGCTCCACAGAGAACAGAATGGAAGAGGTGAAAAAGGTGATTTCCTGGTGATGAAGAAACATTTTGCAGTCGGAAATGAGAGCAGTGCTATAATAAAAAGTTAATTTGAATGTGATGTAGTTCCCAAGCTCTACCCTTCATTATGATAAACGATAGTCTTTGCTTTGGCTTGGAATCTCATTGTTGGACTAAAAAATCTTGACACAGTCACCTCAAAGTTACTACAAGTACAATCAATGATGGCAGCTTATAAACATGCTTTAACATTTATTTTCAAGTCATTGACATCAATTTATAAATTCAATCTATAATGATTAGATAACATCTGTTCTAATGAGATGGTAGTCGTCATGGATATGAATATCTGCTGTATTTATAGCAGTGACAGTTGCATTGGTTCACCGATGCTTCTTTTCACCATCCTCCAGCCCTCAGACCTGTAGAACTAAAAGCACATAGGCCTAAGGCAAAAATTTCCGTCGTGCAATCCCCACCAACTGCCTTGATCATGTGAAACCCTTGGTTAAGGTTAGGTAAAGATGTTGATTGTTACAGTATATAGCCATCAAATTAGTTTGGAACCTCTCAGTTCATTTCCAATTTCCAAGGGGCATTATTAATGTTAAAGAGTTCGGTCTAGACCTGCTCTATTTGAAAAGTGTCCTGAGATAACTTCTGTTATGAATTGGCGCTATACAAATAAAATTGAATTGAATTGAATTGAATATCAATAGGTGCAGATGGAATACAGTTAGACCTACAACCAAAGAGAGCAATGAAACGTGACCTACGACCGATCAGAACAAAAAAACAAAACCAGAGCAATGAAATGTAACCTATGATCAATCAGAGCAGCAAAACATGACCTATGATAAATCAGAGCAATGAAATATAAAATACAACTAATCAGAGTAACGAAGCGTGACCTACCAGGCGGCTGTGGCTCAGGAGACCACTAATCAAAAAGTTAGGAGTTTGATCCCCAGCTCCTCCTTCTGCATGTGTGATTGGGTGAATGTGGCATGCAGTGTGAAAGCGTTTTGAGTGGTCAGAAGACTACACTGTATACCCAGATTTTGATTCAACTCAAAGAGATTGAGTTCATATTACTTAAATGTGTCTAATTTATTGACATTACTTGTTAATTCTGATTAAGCTGAACTTTTTCATATCCTTTCTTATTGTAATTGTGTTTTTAAGTCCAATCAGTAGTTTCTACTCAAACAAACTGAGTTTGTATTACTTAAACATATCACCCATTACATTAGTTTTGTCAGGTTTTGCTAGTTGATCTGTAAATGAGGTATGCAAATAATTACCTGTATGCATAATGTCAAGAACACTGTGTGTGAGTTAACAGGTGGGGTCCAGTACGTAAATGGCTCTGCTGTGTATTGTTGATTATGTGTGTGCACATAGTGTTCAGGGTAACATATGGACCCTATTTTAAGTGTGTGATGTCCTCTCTGCTCCCTCAATCCACCAGGCTTCGGATGTAACAGAAGTCAGATGCCTTGTCCTCGGGGGCTTCCTGTCATTCTTGGCGATGGTCCATCCACCTTCTTCAAGGCCTGCTTTGTAAGCAACTTTGACCATACCATACATATTATTTTAAGGTGTGCATGTGTTAATAGTTTCTTTTTTATTGTTATTGTTGTTTGAAAAAAAAAACTTCTCTGGAGGAGGCATACTCCAATATTGTGACCTGTGTTCACCCCAGATCATTTGTGGATGCTTCTTGCACCTGTCCTGAGTGATTTTCTGTAGCGGTCGCTGCACTGGGCAGTGGGTGGACACTGGATAGGGCAGACATGTGGGCTGTGTACCTATAGAGGGTGTTTGTAGCACTATGTTGTCATGTTGATGTGATCATGCCCTGTTCCTTTTTTCAGGACGTTGATGATGAGGAAGGTTCGTACAATGATGTGCCAGTGGGGATCCACTGCCATGAACAGAAAAACATCACTCCACACACGCATTCCCTTCACCACAATGCATCCTCAGTGGAAAATCATCTTGGAGGCAAACATTGTGATGGATGTTGAGAGCCTGCCCCAGGCCATGTACATGTTCGGACTTACCTATGCACTGCATCTCAACTACCCAAAGTACATGAAGAACACTTTTGATTTTTTTCAACAGGTACTTCTGAACTTAGGTAAGACAGATCTGAAACCTAAACTTCAAACACTCAATAATCAGCTTGCAATGTAAGATCCAGCATCTCCTCTTCCCAAGTCGTCAAATGTGAGTTTTTTTTATTAAGTAAGTTAAGCAGTAAAAGTAAAGTAAAGTAAAGAGAGAGAGGGTAAGGAGAGAAGGACAGACTAAAAAAAATGTTACATGGGGGATAGAGAAAGCATGGGGGGTCGTGAGGAGGAAAGATAGAGGGAGGAGGAGGGGAGAGTATGGGCTCTCGATGGGTATCTACTGTCAGTTTTATTTTTCACCCTTAAAGAGTTCCGTCTAGATCTGCTCTATTTGAAAAGTGTCCTGAGATAACTTCTGTTATGAATTGGCGCTATACAAATAAAATTGAATTGAATTGAATTGAATTCTATCTCACACATGCTTTTTTATTTTATCCAGAGAAACATTTTTTGTTAATGATCGAGTTCACAATTGCCAAGATGGAGGAGTGGGGTAGAGAGAGGAGGGGGGGAAGAGAGAAAGGGAGGTAGAGGTGGAGGGGAGAGTATGGGCTCTCCATACAGGTATCTGCTCTCTGTTCTTTTTTTCACCCTCCCGTTCTCTCTTCTTTCAGTCTCACACACTTTTTTGTTTTTACACATTTGTTATTTGTAAATGTTAAGATGCCAGTGTTCAGCAGGGCTGAGTTTTGTCTTGCCAGTTTGTAAACCAAATTTGAAGAGGCGCAGTACAATATTGTAATGACAGGAGGTAAAGAGGAAGAGATTTTTTTTTTTTTCATGCCATCACTGAGGAAACTACACACTAGAAGCCTATTAGGCCATGGCTTTGTTTCTTTTGTTGCTGAAAAAAAGACATGTTCAATAATAAAAATTGGATCAGTGTAATGTTGCAGTTGTATGTATGTATTTTACACAGCTCTATTGATTGAAAGACATATTTTGAGTTTCAGGAACTAAAAAAGTTAAGTTGGGTCAGTTAGAATATACAATTTAGTTGAATTGGTAATGGAGTAATGCTTACTTAACAAGCTGAGTTAAATAAATGGGTGGGGAATGATTGTTTAAACTAAATATCTTCAGTTACTGTAACTCGGTTATTAGTACATTCAACTTAAATGTTCTATTCCATTCCATTATGGGCTCAAGTACATTGAACGTAGTCCACTTCACTTATTCAACTAATGCTTCATTACTTAAAAAATTTAAGGCAACGAGTTACCTTGATTTTTTAAAGTAGATTCTACTTATCCGGGTTTACAGTGTAGAAAGGTGCTATATAAGTACAGTCCATTTACCATTTATAACCAGTTGGAGCAACAAAACACAGAGCAATGAGTTGTTTGAGTGGTGCTTAGTCCGTTATCAAGCAGGTAAAAATGGCGGCCTGCTCACAAACTTTCTCAAATTACAGCTAAATGGTACACTAAAATGATCTTATTTGATACTTTTTCAGATGACATCACCATCATCATCGACCAGATTTCAAACATAGATGAGACTTCATATCCAAAGGAAATCAGTTTTCAATGTCAGCAAAAACCAAGGAGCTGATTGTTGTTTTTAGGAAAGAAAGAGGCAAACACACACTCCCCTGTATATGCCAGTCAGGTGAGGTGGAGCAGGTGAACAGTTTTAGGTTCCAGGGATGATCACAGAAAACCTATCATGGTCATCTCACATCTCCACCCTGGGTAAAAAGCACAGACATTACTGTATTCCTTAAGGAAACTTAAGAAAGCAAAAGCGATATAAAACATCCTGACTCGAAACATCACAAAAGTTTGCTCGGTGATGTGCGTGGCCCAGGACAGGTGGTTAAACCAATTAGAAGATCATTGGCACACAGCTACCCAGCATCAGTGATATTGGTGAGGTGAGGTGCCTACAGAGCCCAAAGGGTACTAAAAGACATCCCCCACCCCAGACACAGCTTGCTCAACCTGTTGCACTCTGGGAAGAAGTACAGAAGCTTCCACTGCTGTACCACCAGACTTAAAGACAGCTCCTTCCCTCAGGCTGAGAGATTGATTCTAAGTAGTATTTTTGTATGACTTAAATCGATTTTACTGTATATCATTCTTATATAAAGGTTCTCATGGATCCTGGTGGAGCTTCCTACCATGGTCCTGCTTGACTCCCATTGCTAATATCACTGATATTATTGTTATTATTAATATTACTATTATTGTTGCTACAGTTACTGTTGTTGCTGTGGTCACTGCTCATTGTCCCCCATCATTGTTGTCATCGTCGTCATCATCTTCTTCATGTTCATCATCATCATCATCATCAGTCACTACTATTAGTGTAGTTGTTGCTACTGTTGTTGCTGTGCACCTTTGTCTCTGTCCTTCTGGCGTTACCACTGCTTTCTCTCTGTGTCCCTCTCTCTCTCTCTCTCTCTCTCTCTCTCTCTGTATGTCTCTCTCTCGCTGTCTCTCTCTCTCTCTCTCTCTCTCTCTTTCACACCAACTGGTCGAGACAGACGACCACCCACCTAGAGCCGAAGGGTCTGTCCTAGGTTTCTGCCTTTTAACAGGCAGTTTTTCCTTGCCCTTGTCGCCAAGTTCTTGCTCATGGTGGTACTGTTGGGTCTCTGTAAATAATCTTATAAAGAGTTCGGTCTAGACCTGCTCTATTTGAAAAGTGTCCTGAGATAACTTCTGTTATGAATTGGCGCTATACAAATAAAATTGAACTGAATTGAATTGAATTGCAAAAAGAGCATTACTTTTCATGTTTCTTGCTTTGTTCAGTCTCTCTTGGAGTTTGACACTCATTAAGTTCATCTAGATTGACTCGAGTATGCATCTGATACGATGAGCACATTCAGATTCAAAGTGGAGGCAGTAAAGAAACACAAGATCCAAACAGGAATTAGAGCCCTTCTGAGGCAGCCCTGATGATTTAAAGAGGGAGATAGAAGATGGGAGCCCTGAGCTGTGGCTCAGCAAATGAGTTCACAACAGCTCAGTTCATTTAGACAGCCCTTTAGCTATGACTCAATCATCCATCTATGTACTGCATATACAAGCCTCTGCTCGCAATGAAAATGTATCATATACTGCCTGTTCACTCATTTGTCTCACAAAGCCCTTGTCACGCAAAGGTCAGAAAGTGTTTCTATTTTCATTACGACACAGTATGTACTGTACATGCTGCAATTTAGTGTACATAATGTCATTACTTCTATAAAAAAAAATCACAACCAGAGTCAGAGCTGTATACGTAGCTGGTTAGAACAGAATTACACACAGCAGTCTGGTTACAATGTCCTTTTATTTTTCACTGCACACACACATTAAGATAAACGCTAAACTTCTTTTACCACTCAGCTTGCACACCTCTTTAAGCCTCACCGTTCAACCAAAGAATATTTACAGCCATCAGTGGTAAATTGACTGTACTTATATAATGCCTTTCCAGTCTTTTGACTACTCAGTGCACTGTACAGTACATGCCACAACCATCTGCACACTGAAGCAAGGTGTCAACATGCATCACAATGGAAACCAATCATTTATACACATACACCAATTTGGGAGTATCTTGCTCAAGGACAGTTTGACATCCAGTGAGAATCAAACAGGGGATTGAACCGACAACCTTCTGATTAGTTGGCAGTTAAAAATACCTTTGATTGTAGAGGCAAAGCTAATTCCCCTAACTCAATATAGTTCACTGTTTGAACATAATTTAATTCAAAGTTGTTATAACTCAAAAAGATTGATGGAAACAGTTGCAATACATATACTGTATATATATATAGTTGAGCCTAGACATTTGTTTTGAGAGTGTAATGGTAAATGGACCTGTACTTGTATAGCGCCTTTCTAGTCTTCCGACCACTCAAAGTGCTTTTATACTACGTGTCACATTCACCCTTTCACACACATTCACTCAGTGATGGCAAAGTCCATCGAACAGAAACTAACTCATTCATATACACACACACCTGTGCACAACATCGGGAGCAATTTGGGGTTCAGTATCTTGCTCAACATGTGGCGTCAGGAGCCGGGGATCGATCCAACAACCTTCTGATTAGAGGACGACCCGTTCTGCCTCTGAGCCACAGCCGCCCTGTATGTGTATGTCAAAAAGATTACAAAAGGTCTATGTATTTGTATTTTTTTTATCAAATTCAATCATTTTGTCTTCCTTTAAAACAAAATGTGGCTTGTGCTTCTGTAGGTGTGAACCAGTCTATTACAAGCAATGTAATCAAGACGTTCACCCATCAATCAGTCTTACTTTTAATGACACAGAGCAAAGATTCATTAGTTAGCTAGCTAGCTCCCCAGAGGGAGTGTTTCTGACACAAGTGAGCGAGTCATAGACTACAGCTCACCAAAATATTAATGTAAAATAACTTCTGTATTTCCACGACAGCTAGCTCAATCTGCCAGGACTGCAACTGCCCATTGTGTTATGTGCAGCTTTGTGCCATCTTGATTTATTGCTCCGCCCAGAATCTGTGGAATAAAGAGGCTGGATTTATCAAGACAAACTACCAAGAGCCAATTTAAATTGTATTAGTAATTGTAATTGTGTTGTTTAAATTTTAAAAGTAATTAGTTACAGTTGTAGTTACCGCCAAAAGTAGTGGAATTACGGTATCGCATTACTTTATAACATGTTACCCAACATTAGTCATTAAGTAATGTACTTAGTTACTTTGCACTTCCGGTGTTCGTTCTTCACAGACCTCAAGTTAACCCTCTGGCAGCACCAAACACACCAGTGCATTATTTAAATGTTTCTATTAATATCTCTGCAATAATACAGCACAGAAATATGGTTCATACTGTCTGAATCAGTACACGACACAAGTTATTCACAGAGCTTGAAGAGAGGAAGAGAAGAGAGTGCCGTCTGCCTTTCAGTGTGCTTAATTGGTGGGTTTGTGTGTCCATCTACATTTTGTTTCAAACTAACCAATGGGCACTCAGGAAATAATACATTATTTCTCTAACCATAGCCATACCTTAGTTACCATAGATACAGGTATTGTCGACAGTAAGAATTGTTTGTGCAAAAATAGTCCAATATTGACTTTTTTGTATGTCGGGTTGCATCAGAAATTGTGTAATCAGTCTAAACATGGTATTGTTGTAAGTGTCCATAACTGCCTTGCTGTATCTGCAAAGGAAAACAGTCCTATGGTTAGACCTAGCTGGTGTTTATCTAATCTGATGATGTACTTCTAATAATGAATGTAATCTGCACTCCCAATGAATTGTGTTGCATTGAGCAACAGTCATTATAAGTGGCATTATTGGCAAAGTAAAATCAAGAGGCTAAAAAATAGCGTGCATGAGCTAAATGGCATTAAAATAGATTTTAAGACTTTGTTTAATGTGAGCCATCTGCGTTTGCATATTTTTCAGACTCCTCTGTGTTGCTGCCAAGTTTGATACATTGCAACTTTCAGGAAAATCCATATTCCCTGCTTGTATTTACTGCTTGGTTATGAATGTGAACTCTATTTGCAAGTCAAAAATGAAGGTAATTAAGTAACTTCTAAATGAGCCCAAATTACTGTACTTGCTGTTCCTCTGTCTGTCTTATCATGAGTCCTTATAGATAATGTCCAGTTGAGGCATTCAAAGTCTCATCAGGTTCCACTGGTAGATTCTGGGGGGGTCACGGAGGGTAATCACCCTTCCTGGTGCCCTAATGTTCGAAACAACGTTGCAAAGTCTTGCACTCATGCACTCTTGGATGCCCCTATGGTAGATAAAACATGATAAAGGACCCCCAGGGGACTAATCCCGTCCCTGACAAAGCTGTTTCATACCTTAGAGCCCACTTTCTCAGACTTTACATTAGCAACAGAGGAGGTCATGTGCACAACACATTGCTGTGCAGTTGGAAAACCAGCACTCCAGAGGGGCAAGTCGCTTTCCTTACATCCTCCCAGATGGAACAGTAGATCAGTCTCCAGCAGACCTGCTCCTCCCCAGGGAGCCTTGGCCCTCCCCAGCCTCCAGAGGATACCAGAGCAGCTAATCTGTCATTCCTCTCTGCAGTATTTCTCTCTTATTATAGGTTAGACTATTTCAAGAATATAGTCATCATATATGGGACTCACCTTGCAGGTGAAGTGACACATTCCCCACAGCAGCGTCAGTCACAGACCGGCCCCTCATTTATCACCGACATCAGAACTGTAGTGCTGGACACCTTCCTATCACACAGTAGTCTGGTTGTGATGTGCAGCAGAGTCATCTGGAACTCAACAGTAGCACAAGACTGATGCTATCAACAAATGAGAAATATCTCAGTGGTGTTATAAGCTCAGGGCGGTTTAAATCTGGGGTTAAATGCCACAATGTAAGGGTTTGCTTCAGTAATGGGTTCACAATTTTAGATTATAAGCCTAATTAAAACATTTGAATACAGGCAATTATCTGCCCTCCTCAACTATGGAAATATCTGTCCCCTCTTCACACCTTTCCTGTTCCTGCCTGAACCTGCTGTCTCTTGGTCCTCCCGGAGTCATAAGGCACTTTTCATAATGTGTCTCCTGGCTTCCCTTATTCATTTCCTTTCCACATCTTAGCTCCACACAGCGAGGAGGTGAGACAGAGATGTGAGGAAGAGATGTGCGTACAGAGGAGCCGAAACTGCTAGATGTGAAATCATTGCCTCCACAGCCTCAGTAAGCGACAACAGTTGCTTCTGTATCACCTGACTGGTACCGGTGTCCACAGAACAATTTCCAAACCTTACAGTATTCATTTAGATTTCAAAATTGAATTTGAAACATAACAACCGTTTATTACTGTTGATTTTAATCTTTTAATCAGTGTTATGATTATGTATTATTTACATAATATTATTTACTTTAATTTGTGTTTATTTTTACACAATAGTATACCACATACCTGCTTGTGTGATAAATGGACACCAATTTCCACCAATGTGATGAAAAAAAAGGATTTTTGACTTAGTATCTTAAAATTATGAGAAAGTTTGTCAATATTTTGAGGTGCTAAGTTAGTATTTTGAGAAAATGTCTCATAATATTTTTTTTGTCACAAAACACTTTGTGTAGATTAGATTGTAATTTATCACATGCAACATGACAGCACATTATATTGCATCTCACCATGTATCTGTATTCTATTATGTGTAGATCCCCATACACCACAGTAAGAGCTGGGGGAATAAACTGTGAATTAATTATCACATTTTGCATTTCATATTGTCAATTAGGTTTTCAATCATGCCAAACATATAAATAACACTCATGTTCCACATGTGGGGGTGAGGCACTGACTGATACCAGTTTCTTAGAAACTGCTGGAACACATACCGATATAAGTGGAATTATCTCAACCTACTAATACATTGTTTTTCTTGTAGAAGAAATACTGTAGGTACCTTGACTCGTAAAGATGGATTATTTGTGCAGGCCAAACATTAGTTGCATCAGTATTTCCAAAAGCTTTCATATGTGTTAATTCCCATTTCTGACTTGTCATTCATTCTTAAGATCTATGTGAAAACTGACAGAAGCAACAAAAGAAATAACCACAATCCAGCTCGGCTCCAGTCTGAATAAAACTAGCCACTTACCTCATCAAAGCTTGACAAGAGCGAAGAATTTAAATGTGCTGGATTTGACAAAATCATAACCTGCTGAAAGAACCACCCTTTAATGTGAAAAGTAACGATTGGGAGACAAAGGCACAGCCTGTGCCAGTGTCTGAAAATACAGCAAATGTTAAACCAAATCACAGTGAAGGGGTGACTTTAGTTTTAAATGCAGGGAGCCAGCCTACAGACTTCAGGTTCTTGACAGGTTGCCATGAAGGCTGCAGCCCCCTCTACACAGACTTAGCCAGTTCTGAAATGTCACAGTATGCAAATGCTACATAATTTAACTGACTGCTCTTACACCTTTCATCCGCCTTAAACATTCAACTGGGTCCCCTGAAGAATGAAGGGAAAAAAGATATATGTTGTGGGTTTGGAGGGCCTTCAAATTGAAATCCTCAGCTCTTTAAATGAGTAGCAGGTAATGGACCTAAGTGCTGTCTGTATTAAATTAGTTTCAAGAGGCTGCCATTCTTTGGGTGTGCACAGTATGCACGGACACAGAGTAAATAATCTAGTGAGTCTGGAAATTAATTTGGAAAGCATGCGGGCATGACTTGTTGAAACAGAGACTGGCTGGAGAGCCAATCAGTCTCACAAAAAGACAATTACAAAATGTAAATAGTGGACACTTGAATGGGCACTGTGTGTGAGTATGTGTGTGTGAATGAAAAGGCAAAGTCAGTGGCTGATGTAATCCGCAGGCAACACATGACATCAAGTGGTCGTTTGTAGGAATTTCAGCATAGGACCAATGGCTCATCAGGAGTGGTTGTGGGGCTTTTACAGTGCCTGTTGTCTTCAGCATGTTATCAATTACAGGAAGTACTGTAGACAACTATGTTGATGTCAGTTTCCTGCACAAGAGCAAGAGGTTAACAAAAGTTGTTCACATGTTCAGTTCATACTTCTCACATCCTTACTGCGGTTTGGCAGGTTCCAAGCATTCAGAGCAAACAAAGGCTGCAGTTGTTTCAGGGAATTCCCATGCTGAGAACAAATGTATGCTTTCAGAACATGCTTGTATTAATCATACAAGTTATTAATGATGACATAATGCTAAAGGCTCAACATACAGTACATGTACTGAAACTAAAATTCAAGAGCCAGAAAGACATATGTTTGATGACAGGTTATCGAGACCCAGCTGGAACTTGTCAGGACAAGTTAAACAAGTTTGTCAGCCCATGTTTTCCTAATCTTTTTAGCACTGAATGCATTGGCCTGGAGTAAACTTTCTAAAGACTGAAATAAATGCATGAAACAAGCTGGGATAGCACAATTACTGACAACCCCATTATCTTTACCTCTTCCACTCTGCACTTCCAGAGGCTGTAGAAGGCTCCGTTTTGAAGCTAGAGTGAAGATATCATGTATGTATCATACGAAACTAGATGACTTAACATATCCATTGGTACCAACATGCTGGAGCTAAATAGCACTCCAAATTTAGGCCAGATTTTGTTGATGGAAAAACTGGTATGACTTTTTGGAATGGCATCCTTTGACTTCTGACCTCAAGATAACTGAATGAAAATGGGTACCCACAAGTCTTCCCTTTACAGACATGCCCACTTTATGCTAATTGCATGGAATTTTGTGCAAAAAACATTTTTTGCATGTGGTGTAAATGTGTTATTGTCACCTAGTCTATTTTAATGTTGCATAAACTGGGAATGACTGGAAAGTTGAGACACACACTTTATGCCACCCCTGAATACGTCAGTGTCCCACAAAGTCTGGAAACACCCATGTAGTAATGTTCAGCACTAATGTTGAATGATAAGACCTGGCTTACAGTCAGCGTTCCAGTTCAACCCAAAGTTGCTGGATGGGGTTAAAGTCAGGGCTCTGTGCAGGCCAGTCAAGTCTTTTCACACCAAACTGGGAAAAGCCTTTCTTTGTGGAATTAGCTTTGCGCGCTGGGGCCTTGTCTTAAAATTCATCGTTGATGAGTCACACACAGCAGTCGTCGCATATGTTAATAAGAATCGTATATGCAGGTGGGCGATGAGGGGGCATTGAGACAAATCTGTGGAAGTACCTCAAGCAAATAAGTCACCAATACTGTTGTGGCATCTCCTTACAATATGTGCACGTTTGAATACAAGCTTTCTAAGAAGTGTACAATTTTCTACTTTTCCCTTTACTTACCTTACTTGTACCTTTTACAAAAGTGTTGGCGGAAATGAACATTGCCTAACATCCCTTTCAGCTACCCAGTCACACAGTAGCTACAACTTGCCACCGCAGTAAGGGCAGCACCTCTAGATAGCAGAACGATCAACATATAAAAGATGGACATCTCCACTTCCTCACACTGTACAAAAACGAAGCCAAAATATTCTGGATAGATCCACTACTATAATGTGCTGGGGACACTGTATTAAAGTCCTGCCCATATGCCTGGCCAACTCAATTATGAAAGGGCCTCAGCTGTCAATCATTAAAAATGAACACTTGAACATACATCATATATACACACTTATATCTACTGTATATATTAATACAAAACAAAGGTTTAAATTCATTACCATTTCTATTTATACAGTAGTGTTTTTCATCCATCAATCTACTTCCAGTCAACTCTAAGTCAACAGCTATCCCTTTCATATCAGGTCTGGCTAACTAACTTGCTCACTCTGTAAACAAAGCTGGTACAGGAAATAGGAGTGTTATAGCAGTTCTTACCTTCATTTGCCGTAAACAAGCACTAAACTTGTAATGAACAATTGATCATTTAGCTACCTAAATCACTTCATATCCTGTATGCCAAAATGCTGGCACACAAACCTGCCAACTGAGTCTCATGTGCTCGCAGGTGATGACCGCACTGTCAAACATGTGAGGAATGCAGATCCAGTCTCCCCTGAAAGATGAGAAGTTGAATGAATTTTAAATGATGAAGCAGTGCTTCTTAAACACTAGATGTTATCAGGGTTGCTCAGAGTGCTTTCTTAACCTTTTTCTCAAAATTGGACGTTTGGTTACATTTGGGTTGATTTTCAAGTAGAAATGGCATTTGTGAATGGATGCTTCATATTGTTAAAGTTGATGTGAGCTGATTTATATACATGAAACATCTAACACTGGTATTTAAATATGACATTCCACAGAGTGCACCTTATAAAAACATGCTGCACTTCCTTGTGCTTGGACATTCCAGTAACAGGGAGAGAAAGAACGCCCATGTGGAGGTAAGAAAGGGACACCAATGACGATACAAGAAAAATTCATAGCATGACAAGACGCACAATAGCAGGATCCCTTTGGCTTTTGGATTTTGGCTTTTCAACATGAACGGGGCAAACTATCAAGGTAAGAGTTTTCCTGTTAATGTGACAGTTCAGTCGATTTATTCATTTTCACTTTGTTACAGAGCAATTTATTTTCTAACACATTTTTTACTTTAACACATCTTTCTGGATTAATACTAGATTAATTCATTTTATTATATTGTATATTGTAAATCTCAGCCCTTTGATACTTAATTATGAAGTTGAAGAACAGCTATGCTGAATGAATTTACGTTTAATTATTATTACATTAACTTATCTTATTTTTTCCTAGTTCTTCTTAGTGTGTATATATAATGTCGGGCAGTGCCTACTTAGCTACAGTAATTACAATTAAGATAAAAAGGATTATAATGTCAAATTTACATAACAGTTAGTAATCCTTAATCCAGTTAAACATATTTAGACATCTTGTGAATCATCTTACTATCTGTCCAGAAGCTTGATGGAAGGTTGATATCAGCCTGTGCTCAGTGGGCAGGCTGGTTAAGTTGGTGCAGGGGCTGTTTAACCTCTAACAACAGAAGAGAAATTTGCCTTCTGAAGTTTCCAATGTCATATTACCCCCAAAGAATTCTAACAAAAGGTTTTTCAGTGTTTTACTTTAGTATCAGATGTACTTAAAAACATACTAAAAGTTTACCAAAGTTTGACTCCAAGAATTTTATTTAATTTATAATATTTGTATTAGGTCCTCTTACTTGGCTGGCTAAAATTAGCCACTGCTGAACCTCCTTTCAGGTGGTTAGCAAGTCAGGTTTCACCTGGTTTTGTTCAAAGTTGGAGGGTGTATGGCTTCAAAGTGAAGTGCTGCTGGGTTTATCCATGGATTGTTAAGGGAGAAAATGATACAGAACTCATTCTTATAGAACTTGTGGCGCATGAGTTCAAAAGAGTTTGATTTCCTAAAAATTAAAATGCTTCAAATGCTTTTGCATTGTGGGGGTATAGAGCAAGTGCACCAGAGACTTCCGCCAAGCTGCCAACTTCCGGTTTAGCCCACCACTAACTTGAATGGAGATAAATTAATTTATTCATGTAGCTGTTCTAGACATTCCAAATATTAGAGGACTAAATGGATCAAATTCTGATAGTGAAACTCAGTTTTTTGTTCAGGTCACTACAGTCAGGATGGGTTGCATTTGGTCAATTGCACAAATTTAGGTGTGAAAATTTAGTTCAAACAAGCGCAAACTCAAAGTTCAGTTCACACAGATTCAAATGAGCTAGTTTGCATTCACAGATCACAGTCCCAAAAATGAACAGTTCATTTCTTCCATTTTTTTAATGAGCTGCTTTATGGAATGAGTTTGACTTGGGTGGAGGAACTTTGTGGCTGTTGGCTCATGGACTTAACATTTATTAATGGTTTCTTGTGATCATTAGTCACTTAGGAGTTCGGTCTAGACCTGCTCTATTTGAAAAGTGTTGTGAGATAACTGCTGTTATGAATTGGCGCTGTACAAATAAAATTTAATTGAATTTAACTTAATGAGATGGCTTTCCACTAGTTTGTTTTCCTTTCTCTTCAGAAGCGTGGTGATGTAAAAACACCACAAAATGAAAGTGAAGGTTCTGTGTTCTTGTTTCCTTGTTGTTGTGTTATTTGGTCTTTATTAAGTTTAACTGAATTGTTAATGCCTTTCTGTCTTACATAAAGCACTTGAATTGCTTCAGAGTTGAAAGGGTTCTGTACACCTGTGCCGCCTTGCTGACATTTACACCTACATAACGCTCTGAGAAAATTCTTTCACTTGTTCTAAACCTGTTGGATAACATCAACAATGCATTGTCATCAAGCGAATCATAGACAGTTTTATCAGCCCTGTAGCCTGGCTGTTGTGGTTAAGTTCAGATATAGTCTCATTAGGTGTAACTCAAATTTTTCGTTTTCAAAAATGTAAACAGCTAAGATCTTTCATCTGGAGTGTGCACACAGTCTCTCGTTTGATGGATGGTGTATTTCTCTCTGCCAGGATTCAGCGCCACCACAGATCCAAATGAAAGGAGGATTGTTCTAGTCGGGAAGACCGGAGTAGGGAAGAGCGCAGCGGGAAACACCATTCTGGGCAGGGAAGCATTCGAGTCGGAACTGTCTCCAGCTTCCCAGACGTCTGAGTGCCAGAAAGCCAAGGGGAATGTCGGGGACCGAAAAGTGGCCGTCATTGACACTCCAGGGTTGTTTGACACTAATTTCAACCAAGAAGAAGTGTTGAAGAGGATCAAGATGTGCATCTCTCTGTCTGCCCCTGGTCCTCATGCCTTCCTGGTAGTTCTTCAGCTGGGCAGATTTACCCAGGAGGAGAAGGAAACTGTCAAGATGATTCAGACCACTTTTGGTGAAGATGCAGCTAAATACACAATGGTTTTGTTCACACATGGAGATCAGCTGAAGAAGCAAACCATTGAGGGCTATATTTCTGAGAGTCCCGAGCTGAAAGCCCTCATTCTGAAGTGCTACAGTCAATACCATGTCTTTAACAACGAAATTAAAGACCCTGATCAAACCAGTCAGCTCCTCGACAAAATCGACAAGATGACTATGGCTAATGGGGGAAGCTACTACACCAACGAAATGTTTATGAGAGCAGAGGCAGCCATAGAGAAGGAGAAACAGCGAGTCCTGAAGGAGCTGGAAGCACAGAGGCAGAGGGAGCTGGACCAACTGAGAACCAAATACACAGAGGAGGCCTACCACAGGGAGGAGAAGCGAGTGATTAGGAGATACAACTATGAAGCCAGAGCTCGTGCTGAAAGGTCCAATGATTTTGTCGCTGCTCCGGTGATGGTTATAGCGACGACATGTGGTGCTGTTGTCGGAGGTCTGCTCGGAGTTGTAGGAGGTCCAATCGGTTTGGCAGTTGGAGCTGCAGCTGGAGCAGTTGTTGGAGCTACTGTTGGTGCATTATCACTCAGAGTCTCAGAGCGTTGCAGTGTTCAATGAGGAAAGTAGAACATACAGTTAAAGGTGCCGTAAGCGAAATCTGCATTTTGGCTAACTTCCTGTCCATTATTGCAGTTAGCAGTCCCCTTCTTCCTACTCGCATCGCCACACTGAAATTCTACTATTCGCCCTGGAGGACCATGTCTTTGTGGAATTCTCTCTCCTGACTGGATAAAGTGGGAACAGGATGCCAGAAAATATATTCTCTACTGCAGAAAGGACTGGGAGAGAATATAGAGCTATTTAACACTTATTTTAACTTAAAAATATTGCTTACAGCACTTTTCAATTATGTTTATATTTAATTGTTTTCCAGGAAAATTATATCCCTCTAGTCTTGCGTCATCTTCATTTGCTTCTTAGTGAATGCTCATAATCACTTTTCGTTCACAATTTGAATATTTTGTACCAGAGATAGGTACACGGTAAAAATTCATACAGGGATTTAGTAGAGTCAATATTTTCTCATTTCCTTAACATAAATATTTTAATATTTAATTTTTGTTTTTAGATGTTGTTTTCTGACTACTTCAGAACTTAAAAGAAAATAACTATATACATGAATTATTCTAACTTGAAGTCTTTTAACTCTAAATCATGAGTTTGACTTACACAAATCAGCCATAACATTATGACCACTGACAGGTGAAGTGAATAACACTGATTTCCCTGATTATCATGGCTCCTGTCAGTGGGTGGGATATATTAGGCAGGAAGTGAACATTTTGTCCTCAAGTTGATGTGTTAGAAGCAGGAAAAATTTGATTTGAGCAACTCTGACAAGGGACAAATTGTGATGGCTCGTCGACTGGATTGGAGCATCTCCAAAACTGCAGCTCTTGTAGGGTGTTCCGGGTCTGCAGTGGTCAGTACCTATCAAAAGTGCTCCAAGGAAGGAGAAGGAGTGAACTGGAGACAGGGTCATGATGCACTTAGGGAGTGAAGGCTGGCCCGTCCAACAGATGAGCTACTGTAGCTGAAACTGCTGAAGAGTTAATGCTGGTTCTGATAGAAAGCTGTCAGAGCACACAGTGCAGAGCAGTTTGTTGGTATGTGGCTGCAGAACATTCTGACCACCAGGGTGCGCAGGTGCTCATAATGTTATGGCTGATAAATAATGTTTCTAAAAAAACATGATTAGCATGTAAGCAGACTTTCCATCATGCATTGTTTAAAACTCTCCAGAGACCCTTCCTTTTTATATTTGAAGAAAACCATATATGATAGAAACCTGCTGTGCATCTTTAATACACTTTAAGTTAAGCCCTGGTTGTTTGTTTTCACAAAAATGAAAACACTGCAAACAATGATTGATAAACACTGCCTTACACTTGCGGTTTCACATCATTGTCTTTGTTGCCAATATTGGAACAACGTTGCTCCAACAGGACCAGCAGCTGTATGTTCTTAATGTGAAATGAAAAGCTGACTGAGAAAATATAAAAATAAATCAAATCTTCAAATAAAGTTGAACCAGCTCAAAATGATTTACAGTGTAGAGCTAATTGAATTGTACTGCATCTTTAACAGTGTCTTGACTGTATAATCTTTGCGTAATATAATTGAAATCATAATGTTTTTACCAGGATGGATTATGACAGAATAATTATACATGTGTAGCATCTGAATAAAACATGCAAAATTGTATACAAGTCTGTACATACATTTCTTGAACTGATGTACTGCGTTGTGACTTTTACAGACCATACAAGTGTTGATTAATCAAGGAAATAATCAGACTGATCAGTAATTGAAATAATTATTTATATAAATGCATTGAGATACTTTCATTTTTTATATTTTGAGTACATTTTGCTGATAATACTCATGTGCTCAAGTTTTCAATTAAAGTATTTCACTTTTTTTTCACTGTGTGTTATTGCTAAATTGACTTAAGTAAATTATCTGAATGCTTCCTCCACCACTGGTAATCTGGTGCGTAGCAAAGTGGTAAGAGAGTTTCTCCACAATAATGTAACCACAGCTCAAGGCTGATAAATATGTATCACCTTTAAACTACCTTAAATTAAGTTTTACAACACTGAATTTCACACAGATGTTTAATGGGACCAAAAGGTCAAAGGTCAACTTCACTGTGACATCATAATGTCCTGGAAAACACTTTTTTGGCCGTTATTCAGCACCATGACGCAGGGAACAGAAGGGGAGATTGTGACCATATTTCTTAGTTGGTTGGACACTGAACTGATGATGTTTTGGACTCCGAGGTCAAAGGTCATTGGGACTCTCACCTTTCCATCTCATCCATTCTGACTTTCACTTCCTGCCTCATTCAGATTTTTGAGCGTAGCATCTAAAAATGCCAGGAGAAAACAAAAGCAACACAATTTGTATAGCTATACTTAATAAGAATCAATCTTTATATACAGTAGTAAAAAAGGATGTGTGTAATGTAGGTTCACTGAAATCACACATATGTACCATTAATATAGTGTTAACTTAGCCAACAAATACGCTTCATACCTTTCATTACATTCCATCACATTTATTATATGAGTCTGGACAAACTTGGATGTGTGTTTTGTCGCTATATTTCCAAAGTACAATGCAAATGCGTTTCTACTGTTTATCAAAGCTGCAGTAGGTAATAGGTCATATCTTCTTATAATGTCACTATACAGTAGTACATGAGACAGATAATCCATGAAAAAATACGGTTCCTTTGGCTCCTCCTAGTTCTCCAAATGGCATTTGAAAGAATTTAAGTCTCATTCCGAGGTCATCAAATACCAGTTACCAACTTTCTCAAAATTTGTTTTATAAAAGTTAAACTGTCTTGCACTGCAATGTTTCATCACTAAATGTGTATAGTACAATCTGTATTAAAGTTACATTTTTTTATACATTGCCAGCAGCATAAGTACAAGAAACTGAAAACAAAGATGTTGTTATGTTGTATTTCTTTAGACTCTCGGAAGCAGAAGAAGAGCAATGAACTCCGAATCATTTTGGTGGGGAAGACAGGAGCGGGGAAGAGCGCAGCGGGAAACACCATCCTGGGGAGGGAAGCATTCCAGTCTGAACTGTCTGCTTCTTCCTGGACAACTCAATGCAAGAGGGCTGAGGGAGAGGTCGGAGGTCAAAAGGTTGCCGTCATTGACACCCCGGGGCTGTTTGACACTAATTTCACTCAAGATGAAGCGCTGAAGAGGATCCAGACGTGTATTTCTCTCTCTGCCCCTGGTCCTCATGCCTTCCTAGTGGTCCTGAAGCTGGGCAGGTTTACCCAGGAAGAGAAAGACACCGTGAGGATGATTCAAAGCATTTTTGGCAAGGAGACAGTCAAATACTCACTAGTGTTGTTCACACATGGAGACAAACTAAAGAAACAAACCATTGAAAGCTTTGTTTCAAAGAGCGAAGAACTCAAAGAGCTCATCCAGGCATGTTACGGCAGATATCACGTCTTCAACAACCAAGTGACAGACCAGGAACAGACCGAGCAGCTCCTGGAGAAAATATTTAGAATGACTCAAGAGAACGACGGAGGCCACTACACTGCACAGATGTTCAGGAGAGCGAAAAAGGCTTTAAAGAAAGAAGAACGGAGACTTTCGAAGGAGCTGAAGGCAGTAGAGCAGCAGAGGAAGAAGAACCTGAAGGCTGAAGTTAAGAGGGAAATTCCTTTAACAGGAGGATCACCAAAACACCATAAATGTCTTCTGCAGTAGGAGGTGGAGGTACTCTGGCTGTTTTTTGCAGAAAGTTTTGTTTATCAAGTCTTATGGTTGAATCAGTTTTCTGGAGGTTGTGCTGAGCTTCATGTAAATAATAAAAGACTAAAAGAAGGGTAATATTCCTTTTTAGACAGGCACTGTTTGTAATAAAATGTAATATAATCTGAAGAACACATTACCAACTGAAATCTAATTATTTACAGATATGAAATCCCTTGCAACAAAGGTTAAGGGGAAACCTGAGCTACTTTAGTTAAAGCTAAAGGGTAAAAGACTTTAGTAAAATAAACGGTGCAAAAGTGCACTCCTGGATGCCTCTATGGTAGATAAAACGTGCCTCTTAGGTTGCTAATCCGAACCTTGAAAATGTCACCATAAATGCATCACAACTTCATATTAATTTATTTTTTACTTGGATACAGATAATGTTACATTGTTTGGATAATTTGCGGGGCAGTTTGTTCATTCTGTGATTCTCTTTGTATATTATTGTTATCTTGATATGTATTTTAGTCAGAATGTGTGTGTGTGTCAACCCTGATGTAATACCTATTCAGACCCCATATTATAATAAAAAACTAATACTGAAAGGAACAAAAATGTTACTAAAACTAAACATTTTAAAGAATAAAAACTGAACTCAAACAAGCAAAGTCACTCTGGAAAGTAACTAAAAAATACAAAACTATAAATATGGTCTGTATGGACTTGGTAAATGGACCAGTACTTGTATAGCACCTTTCTAGTCTTCCAAATACTCAAAGTGCTTTTACAGTACATGGCATATTTGCCCTTTCACACACATTCACTCAGTGATGGCAAAGCCCATTGAACAGAAACTAACTCATTCATACACATTCACATTCGGGGTTCAGTATCTCGCTCAAGGATGCGGGACATGTGGCACCACGAGCTGGGGATCGAACCAACAACCTTCTAACTAGGGGACGACCTGCTCTGCCTCTGCACCACAGCCGCCCCAAGGTGGTCTGCCATGGACCAGTACGGAGTGTGTACTGGTAAGAAGTGCCGAGTTACACACTGTAGACAACAAGGGCAACTGTAAACAACTGTTCTGAACATTAGTGTTCTGTCCTGCTTTTTTTCTGACATCATATGAGATGATGAATCATCATCATGCACACTCATCAACAGCATTGGAGTTGATTCAGTCTTTAACGCAACCAACCCTTATTCTGTTGGACAACAGGGACACCCTGTGGCCGTGCTGTTTATTGCACGTCATGGAAATTTGGTCACAGCATAGACTGGTCACACAGCATCCAATAGATAAATGATTGTAGTTCACATTTATTGCAATAGGCAGACACACACTTTCTACAGAATGACAACTCTCAGAAGTTAGTTAGATATACTGCAATTCCCTCGTGAGTTACAATTAAACTCATTATTTAAACTTGTATTAGGGTGAAAGTGTCACATTTTGAAGTGGGCAAGCTGTCATTGTATGCATTTAATTGACAGTTACCAAACTATAAATATTTCATGGACATAGTCCACAGTCCAAAGAGTGCATGGAATCTATGCATTTATTAGATAATTGTGGTAACATTTGAACATTTGATTGAAGAATATAATCTTGTTTTTATAACATGTAACATAACACAGTAATTAAGGTAACCCTGCAACCCTAGGTTTATCAATCAAGGAGATGCTGACTAATAGATGTAAAAAATGCACTAAAAAAGCACACAATTAAGGACTGTTCACTTCAGTTTGTTTCCCATCACCATTAAAGAGGAAACATATGTTGCAAGAATACACCATTCATTTTATTGCTACGACAAAAACTAAATACCAACGTCGAGACAGACGACCACCCACCTAGAGCCGAAGGATCTGTCCTAGGTTTCTGCCTTTTAACAGGCAGTTTTTCCTTGCCCTTGTCGCCAAGGTCTTGCTCATGGTGGTACTGTTGGGTCTCTGTAAATAATGTTATAAAGAGTTCGGTCTAGACCTGCTCTATTTGAAAAGTGTCCTGAGATAACTTCTGTTATGAATTGGCGCTATACAAATAAAACTGAATTGAATTGAATTGTTTACCAGTTCCACCAAAGGCTACATAAGAGTTGCAGAGTGTTTCTATGCAAACTCAAACACTGAAACCATAGCACTCATCTTTTTCTATTTTCCCATTACATTGCCTTAACCTGTATTCTTTTAAATATGAACAGGTGCCCTTTTTGGTCGCGAAATAAAACAAATTATAGACTTATCTTCAAAGAAACATAACAATAATCTTTATTTCTTGTTTTTCTCATTCGAATGTTGTCCTTGATTTGTTTTAACTCGACTCATTGAAAGAATAAATCATTTAAGTGGGTAACTGAAAGAGCTGAATGTTATAGATGTAACAGCACATGCAATCCAACAATATATTTAATTTAATTTAACTGATGTCAGAATATATATTTTTCAATCTAAAAACAATTGTTTACTTTATATACAAACAGGTAAACATAGACAATACATGAACAGTCAATGCAAGGGGGACAGACAGAAATCATAAATTAGTAAAATAAATGAATTTGGATTGCTTTCTTATTTTACAGTATGGGAGTAATGAAATGTACTGTTTGATTCAACATTTAAAAATTATGGTTTACAATTGCAAAATGTTGATTCGTGCATGTGGAATTTTGCAAGCAGAAGGATCAAATTGATGATATAGTACTGATTTCTTTTGTTAGAAGGGTAAGGGGAAAAATCAGAATCGATATGCTGATAAATAAAAGCACAAACATCTCCTTTGTTTACTGACTTCTATTTGAATTTTGAAAATAAAATGGTCATTCAAAAACACAAACACACACAAAAAAACGTTTAAGCCCACGTGATCTCCCAGCACTCTGTCATGTGACGCACAGGAAGCGTGAGCGTGCATACAACAGCCGCGCGCGGCAGCGAGTGCAGACCCTGCTGTTACAGGATGGCGCGCGGAGCTTGGGCGGCGGTTTTCCTCCTTCTCGGTTCGGTTGTGGACCCCTGCTCCTCTCAGACCTACGCCCTGAACGATAAAGCGGGTCTGGGCAGAGTTTTTGACGGAATTGGAGGTTTGAGCGGCGGAGGGGTGAGTTGAGTCACTTTTGAATGACTTCCTGGTACGATACGGTCTGTCCACAGAGAGGACGTACAGTTAGCTGCCTCACTGCTTCTGTTACTGCAGTCCTTTTAACGCTAACAATGTATCTGCTGGCTCCTTCAGGCGACGTCTCGTTTACTGGTGAATTATGCTGAGCCGTACCGCAGTCAGATATTAGACTACCTGTTTAAGGTACGGTATCATTCAGTCATTCATACAGTCCACTGTAAAGTAGAGGGGACCTCACCGCTCTGCTTTCTGCTGTCTGCTGTCTGCAGCCCAACTTTGGAGCTTCTTTGCACATACTGAAGGTGGAGATCGGAGGAGACTCTCAAACTACTGGTGAGTCATATTAAGTAACACTGCAAATGGATTCATATGTCAGCCTATTAGTTGTCAGGAAGTAGTGCAAAATGCCAGTACAGGTTCCAAGATTCAGGGTGACCCCTGACCTGACTAACAATAGATATTTTATTTACAGGCTGGTAAAAGTAAGTGAAGTTGCAAATCTTTAAAGCTAGAATAGATGACACTGGAGAAACCAACAAGAGACAGCTAGATTCTGAAAATATCCAACAACAAAACAATCCATCCCCTCCCTTCAGGTATGCCTCCAAAGCCACTCCCCTTAACACATGATCCTTCAGCGCATTGCTGTCATCGCTAACCGTATCCGACCACCTCATGTCTCATCCACACATACTTCTACGTTAGGCCTTTCTTATTTCCCACTTTGTACATCCCTGATTCCTCTCCTCGCCTCCTCGCCTCCTCTCCTCTCATCTTAGACCCTCCCACCTGAGATGAGAGCGGAGGGAGCGAGGAGGGACACAGAGGAGGGAGGAGTCAAGGCAACAGGCTTTTAACAGGAGATGTCCTTACTTCAGAGTCAACAACTGCACAGCTGCATTATCTGCCCATTGTTTAGAATGCTGCTGTATTTCATTATCTCTGTCAGATAAGCATAACAGCGTTCATAAAAACAACTATATATTTACTTTCAGTTCAATTGACAGTGTGGCATAAAGTGACAAGAACGAGCCAACGGATGTCATACATTTCTTTTTATTTCAATCATGAACTAATAAAGCTGCTCTTTCACTATAAATCTGTTTATTGCTCTACTGTTTCTAAAAATATGAGTTTTTCATTGTGTTCCGTACTGTCAGGGAATCTATTGTGCCAAACTCCCTTAAAGAAAATGAAAAAGCACAGGACAAGTTTGTCAAATGTCGATGGTCTTTTTGTCAATTTGGCATCAATATCATCCATAAAGATAAACAATTGACAGTTTAGTCTCCTCAACCGCTTTTAGAAGTCTGATAAGACTGTAGGAATAAGGCCGTTTCAACCCCTCACTAAATAAGTGCTGGTTGGTGGATTAAATATAGGCCAGTAATATGATTCATGTTTAGTGTGGGAATGATCATTGATACATCACAAATTTGTTTAAAAGAATATATAATTCAAATCATGTGTGAAATGTTTGGGGGGTCAGTACCAAACAATCTGAAAAACAAGATTTGCTCCAAGTTCCTTTTGTGTTCCTTATGGTTGTGACATTGTCTTTTTCAAGATGGAACAGAGCCGTCACACATGCACTATGAGAGCGATGAGAACTACTTCCGAGGCTACGAGTGGTGGCTGATGAAAGAGGCCAAGAGGAGGAACCCAAATGTCACACTCATAGGTGAGAAAGCACAGTTCTTCTGCCCTATACTCCAGGAAGCTCAGACAAACAGCTGCTGAAGATAATAAAGATCATGAGAATGTCTGCTGAGAAACTGAGATCAGCTGATGATAAAACATGACAGGATATCAAGAACCCCTGCTATGTATTATTTGTAATTGGAAGTGCCTTGGGACCATGCTGCATGGTGATTCTGCTCTTTAACTAAATACACTATTTGTGGGCTTATGCATACTAGTTCCATATGGCATGAAAACATCTGGCATTAGGGCTGCAACAATGCAAAATAATGTTCATTGTCGAATAATCTGTCAATCATTTTCTCCATTAATTGATTAGTTGTTTGGTCCATTAAAAACAATTGTTGAAAAAAATCCGGTCCACCCACAGATATTTAGCTTACTGTCATACAGGACCAAAAGAACCAGAAATATTCACACTTGAGAAGCTGTAATCAAAGAATGTGTACATTGTTGATCAATTATCAAAATAGTGTGCAATTAATAGTTGACAACTTATAGTCATGGAACTCTACATGTATATCAAAGACTTGCTGGATTTTATTTTTGCAGTCTAACCACTTGCAGTGTTTGTTCATTAACAGTAAGCAGGTCTGATGGGAAATGTGGTCTTACCAAAAACAGCACTGCTGCTTGGAGCGCTGCTTTGACATTGATAGTGTATTGGTGGTACACAATGCATCTTCAGCCTTGCATGTGTTTGTCTTCCTGTAGGTTTACCCTGGGCCTTTCCTGGTTGGGTGGGCCATGGTAAGAACTGGCCCTATGATTTCCCAGACATCACTGCAGCATACGTGGTGAACTGGATCCTCGGTGCCAAGCAGTACCATGACCTGGACATTCAGTATGTCGGGGTGTGTAGTCGTTTTACTTTGTGTCTCATTCTTTTTCAAGCTCCATGCTATGCTAATAGAATTGCACTTCATATCACATCTGCCCAAACCTTCAACCATGCACATACTCGAAAATATATGCATCTGTGGCTGTGTGGCGACATCTATGACATTAATGCAATTTAAATGAATCTACATGCAGCAATACTTTCTATTTCATGGTACTTTCTAAACAGACTTACTTTACAGTGAAAACAAAGGTGAGCAGTAAAACTAGTAATCACAGTTTATAGACCAACTTTCTGGTTCAACTTTTACCATACTTATTGCAGTTGTGCGTGTGTGTGTGAAGACAAAGTTTAACTGTTCACTGAGGAATTATTAACATTTCAGGTGTTCACTTTCAGATAATGTGCTTTAAAAAGACAGCATTCATTTGTCAGCTTGTTTACAACCTGTCTGATCGTCTGACTGCTTGTGTTCCTTGACCTGCGTGTCACCCAGTGTTCCCAGATTCCATATATATGATGTATATGATAAACTGTTACTGTTAATTACAACTAACTTGACAGTATTTCAGGTGACCGTAGGGGCTGTTACATAAAGCAGCTCAAACAAGGTTATTTAAGTAACTTTTTTTTTCTTATGTTAGCTGAACATATAACGCTGCTTTGAGCAGCAGAATCTGTACACGTTTGCAGTGTAACTAAAATTGGCTTTCGTCTGTTTAGATTTGGAATGAGCGAAACTTTGACAGCAAGTACATCAAGGTAATCCCAAACTCTTTTTTTCAATGTCCTGTCATTGATTTGACTGACAGATGTGCATTATGGGTAAGCTTGTAGCCTAAACTGTGAAATAAATGAGAAAAACAGCCACCAACATTGAGTTGTGCTCCACATGAGAGATGAAGTTTGACTCTCAGTGGTTGATTTGAAGTTCTAGCTGGGTTCCTCTGAGAGCATGTCTTTGTTGCCAAGGTTCTCCGGAACACGCTGGATAAACTTGGTCTAACTGGCGTTGGCATCATCGCGGCAGATGGTGATTGGAGCATCGCTAACTCTATGATCGCTGACCCGCACCTTAATGACTCTGTTGAGGTGATTGGGTAAGTACAGTCAGCCTGTAGTCACACTCAGAAGTGGCGCAGAATTAAAACTCCTACCACAGTGGTTCCCAACTATTTTTCAGACGTACCCCCACAGTCCTGTCAAAGGAAAAGTATCATCAACACCACCCAAACGTGTTGGTTTGCACTGATTCTAAACTGGATGTTATTTTACACCACTGATTTATAAAAGTGGATATTATCAGAATATTTTCCATACAGTTAAACTGTCAGTGTTTTGGTTTGTTTAACTTTGCATTCATACTACTTGTGACACAAGTTGCTGTTTCAACCATTTACCAACTTGTATGTAACATTTTCAACAGTTTATTCAGTTTTTAGATGATTTTTTTCAATCATTCATACATTTTTAGCTAACTTTTTCAATTCAATTTTATTTGTATAGCGCCAATTCATAACAGAAGTTACTCAGGACACTTTTCAAATAGAGCAGGTCTAGACCGAACTCCTTATAACATTATTTACAGACACTTAACAATTCTCACCATGAGCAAGCACTTGGCGATGGGGGCAAGGAAAAACTTCCTTTTAAGAGGCAGAAACCTCGGACAGACCCCTCGGTGCAGTGTCACCCGGTGGGTGGTGCCTATAGCAGCATAACTAAGGGATGGTTCAGGACTCACCTGATCCAGCCCTAACTATAAGCTTTATCAAAGAGGAATGTCTTAAGCCTACTCTTAAATGTGGAGAGGGTGTCTGCCTCCTGAACCACAACTGGAAGCTGGTTCCACAGGAGAGGAGCTTGGTAACTGAAGGCTCTGGCTCCTGTTCTACTTTTAGAGACTATAGGAACCACAAGTAGCCCAGCATTAGGAGAACTATTTACTATTTTTGGGCCCAATGGCAGTGCGATCTAAAGTGTGTACTGTGAGTTTATTGGAGGGCAGTTTGATCCCTGACAACTGATTGACTAAACATGTGATGCACACATGGTGAACTGGCTTCTTCATTTGCGTGTGTCTTTACTTTAAACACTTGGTGAGTTGGTCTTCTGTTTCTCATCTGGCGTTGTCTTCTTTCCCATAAATCTACCTGTTGTAGTGAATCAAAGCTGAATGTTTGTGGCTGTTTTTCTCTTAGACTGGAAGAGTTTAGTCATACGCCGACTTGATAAGCTAAGTGCATGCTCCCATATAATACACAAACAAGACACTTTTATCACTAAAATTAGGTCACAGTCAATTATCTAATCTTTTTTCAATTTAATTATCCACTATTTCTAAAATCCCGATATATAGAATTGTGGAAATTAAGTTATTTCAATGTTCCAAATTTATATTTTCTGTCAAATTTAGATGACAGCAAATCAACAATAAGTTTAAATTGCCCACTTACCCAGAGCAAGTAAAATGCCACTTTGGACTAGTAAATCTTGCAACTCACTTGCCCGATTGGGCCTGAAATAATTTAAATTTTTTTTAATTAAATAATTTTTTGGAGCTGATGATGGAAGTTAAGAGTGAGCCATCTCACTTCTTTCTCATATGTGTTGTTGCACACACTCAGTACCGATCGACCTAAAAACACCACAACACAACAATTCTTATATTCAGGTGATTATACACTAATGAAAACATACCTATGGATATTATATTCCATTTCTGACAATAGCTCCTCCTAAATGTTACACACAGGACCTTTTTAATAAATAATCTCAACTGTTCAGCTTCTTTAGCTGAAAACAAAACATCACATGTGGGGCAAATGGGCAAAAAAAATCTTTAAATGCAGCTTTATAGTCAGTTTTTGTAAAAAATCAAAATAAAGCTTGATTTTGCAGGTGTGTGGGTTTTACATGGTTGCAGCAAATACTGTAAACCCTGATAAAGTCCAAATAGTCCCAGCTATAAATCTGTGTCTTACTCTGCTCTCTCCTCCTGTGTGACTGACTGGCTGTACCAGCTGCTGCGTTACACTCTGGATAAGAATGGCCTGGAGGGGGTCAGGATCATAGCCAGTGACAACCTGTGGGAGCCCATTACCCTGTATCTGCTGCTAGACCCAGAGCTCGGCAGAGCTGTAGACGTGATAGGGTAGGACCCGTCTCTGCGCGTGGTGTTTGTCTGCACACCCTAACATCAGTTTGTTGTGTCTAACTGAGCTATTAACAGGTGATACATGCAAGCACTAGGTCTGTGGTCCTCTTTAATGGGTTGAGAGTGTAGTCTTTACCTGCATGATATGTACAGTACTAACCATAACATTCCTGTGATCAGTGTTTCTGTTTGTGTGTGTGCATGAGCATATTTCATTCATTGGCTAATTCTGATCTGTGTTCTGTCTGCTCACAGTAGTAGTGCTTGATATGGGTTTTTCAATTAAATGCTGAAATTTAGAGAGCAGGGCAATATCAAAACAAAGACAAGTCATGTATAATGCCATTATTCCATGCACTTTACAATCTAATATACATGGTTTGCCAATAGCATGTTGTTTTAGGTGGATTTTTATTAATTAATGAACACGAACTGGTCAGTTTTTGGAACTGTGAGCCTAAAATTGTGAACTTTGAATGTGAGCTAGTACATTTGAATCTGTGTGAAGTGAACTTTGAGCCTGCACAACACTGCAACTGTTCCTTGTAGATTTAATCTACACCATGTGATAGTATGTGCTTAGTCACTTCCTTGTTGACTCATCTCTCGCCTTCAGCAGTACATGAAAGGTTTTTTAACTTGTATTAAACATTTATCATTGTAGTCTTACAATGATAGGTAAAAAAAAGAAAGCAAGATGTAATATAAATTATATATAAATATCCTAACTTATGTTGCATGTGTTTTTTATTTGGCTGTTTTGCTGTTTTGCTCATTGATTTGGCCTGTTTGGCTGTTGTCTAGTTCACTGGTTCTCAAACTATGGTACACGTACCCCTGGCGGTATGCGAGCTTCCTCTAGTGGTACGTGGAGGATGTCACAAATATTTCTTTTAGTTAGGGCTGCGACTAACAACTAATTTGATAATCGATTAATCTGTTGATTATTACTTCGATTAATCAATTATTAATCGGATAAAAAGACAAAAACTACATTTCTATCCTTTCAAGTATGTCATTCAAAAAACAGCGTCCTCTTGTACCATGTTCTTTCAAACAACTTGCCAAATAAAACAAAGCAAAGGTTACAAAAATAGTTTTTTATAAAGTGCACATAACTACATTACATTTACATTTTTTCTCAACACAAAAACCTTTTTAAAGTCTTCCATTTCAAAAAGGAGCCAAATGAATTTAACAAATAAACATAAAATTGATAATAATAATAATAATAATAATAATAATAATGTATAAAGTGCACTTCAGTTTGTAGCTGAACGGTTTTTAACAGTTATCAACAAAAACAATATATATAGGTTTTGATAAATTTCACATGGCAGGCCTTTTCCATTTGTTCTCAAAACAAAAACCTGTTCAAGTCAGCTGCTTGCTGTGGTGTGCAGACCTTCCTTTGAACAAAGTCACTAATGTTGGGTTGGTTCTTTCTGAAATGAGAGAAACCATATAATAAACGTACATATTAGCACCATTTACATGTAACTCAATACATACTTTGTTGATTTAATTAATAATGCTGATGTAAAAGGCAAATAAAGACAATGCCACCACATAAAAAACTAAATTAAATAAATGGACATTGGGGATGCAGCATACGCCAAAAATAAAACGGAAATGTAACTAATCAGATCAGAACTGGATCAGATATTGTTCAAGTTTCTGTTTTGAAGTAATAAAGAATTCACTTTAGACTGCCTCTGAATAACAGCAAGATATATTCCAGCAACTCCATAACGTTAGTTATACTAAAGTGTCCCTCCAACCTAAATAGATTTAAATAGCTTTATTGGTGGCCCGGCTACATTGATCCATTATGAAACGAACCGGATATATTTCTGTCCGTTACGTTTATTTCAAAATTGGTAATCGTTTTCTCCACCAAAACAGAGTCAAATCTGCCGGAGACCGACACATTATCAACCCCGAGTTGCAACAAAGGGATACTCAAACAAAAGAGCTGGACGTCGTAGTTTGTAACACTTTAAAAATGAATACACAGCAGTTGCTGCTGCGCTTCGTTAAACAATCAGATTACTCCTCGTTAACAAAATGTTAAACACACGTACACGGACACGACGGATCAATGTACCAGGGCTATGGATTTATAAAGTTAGGTACCGTGAGTTCCCTTCATCCATGGCTCCAACATGTTTTCTCTTCAGGTGCTCCCGCAGTGATGTTGAACCACTGTGCCATGCGAGGTCAACGCTGCACATTTTGCAGCAAACTGTCTTCTTTGAAGGCTTTAACGTAAAGTGTTCCCACACTTTTGATGACTTGGTCGTACCCCTTTCTCCGTGGTATCATTAACCTCCACACGTTTCTCCACTAAACACTAAATCTGTAGAGTTTGCCTCCGCCATTTTTCAAATGTTTACTCCAGGCAAGGTAGACGGCGTCGTCACGTGAGCTCAGGCACAGCATTGGCTGACTTACTGCCACCACCTGAGACGTTGCCGCAGCGCCTGCCTGCAGCGCCTGCCTGCATCGCCTGCCTGCATCGCCTGCCTGCAGCGCCTGCCTGCAGCGCCTGCCTGCAGCGCCTGCCTGCAGCGCCTGCCATAGATCCAACGAATCGATGACTAAATTAATCGCCAACTATTTCTATAATCGATTTTAATCGATTTAATTGATTAGTTGTTGCAGTCCTACTTTTAATGAAAAACATTTATTTAAAAACACACTCAACATACTTTACAATTTGTGTGTGTGTGTGTGTGTGTGTGTGTGTGTGTGTGTGTGTGTGTGTGTGTGTTAGCTAAATTTAACACCCAAATGTGCATACATCTCTGTTATTTTCTTATTGACTTTGACCCTGTGTGTTGTATGTGTGGCATTCAGGGCCCACTACCCAGGCACCACCACTGTGAAGGAGGCTGTGAAGACGCAGAAGAAGCTGTGGTCGTCGGAGGACTACAGCACTTTCAACGATGAGGTGGGAGGAGGTTGCTGGGCTCGCATCCTTAACCAGAACTACGTCAACGGAAACATGACTGCGTGAGTAGATACACAATGAGCTTTTATATTTTATCCAACCAATCTATTTTTTTCCTCCCTATTTTTATTTTATTTATTTTTTTTGGAGAGAATTACTTTTTTTTTTTTTTTTAACAACTTTATTTAAGGCGTTTTCAGTTATAGAGACAAAGGTAAACATACATACATACACACACACAGGCTAGAGGGAAAGGCCCCAAAAGTGCTTTAGTTTTCGAGATACCCCTACCGGAGGTAGAACAAAGCACAACAATGTTTTTTATTTTCTCCAAGGTCTCCCATATATGAAATAGATTCTTGTATAAAAATATTTTACTGCAAAAGTGGTTAAATTGAGAGATATAGTGGCACGCCCCAAATTTAAAGTCAGGCCGAATTAGAGTCAGGCCGAATGGGAGACAATACACCTTAACCCATGTAATTTTGTAATCTAAGCTCTGATTGATCCCAAATTTGGTGTGGAAGTGGACAGGGGCCCATTTACATGTCTGAAAAAGAGAATGTGGATATCTTGATGCACTGAGGAAATACAGTACTACAAACACAGAAGTACAATAGGCGGAAGTATTAAATATGAGGGTCTATGTTGAATGTATACATTTACTTTAAGTTAGCTTTGGCTGGGAGTGTCTCAGACACACCAACCAGGATTTGTTAGAAAGGTCTGACTGTGCTGAATCCAGCAATATATGATATGTAACTGTAGCAGGTATAATCAGTCATCTACATTAAGAAATGTATGACGTGTGCCAACAATAGCATGAAATGGATGTAAATGGCATGTCCGCAGACAACAATCAAGAAACTAAAAATACACTGCCATATGAGAGAAATTGTAACAGACAATTTGTTGAAATTGTTGTATCAACTTTAATTTAACAGGTAAATACATTTTCTGGATGCAAAATGTTTTTTACAGGCAAAATACACTAAAATATGAACATATAACACTCATACAAACAAATTTGTTGTATGAAGAATGTCACTCATCCACATTATCCTCTGTGACAAAATGTGTCAAGTTTGGACACTGGCATTGGCATGAGCAAAACTCAGTGCATGTCAATCCCACTGAAAGACACTGGCATTTTCTTTGGTCACTGCAGGTCCCATCACTGCAGTAGAGGTGTGTGATGTTTCTGAGTTCTTGTGGAGCCGCTGGTTTCTGGAACAATGTGGCCTCAATAGATCTGTCTTCTCTGACTTTCCAGCCTTGTCCGATGGGATTCCAGAGAAGTGCCTTTGGAAGATGGCTATGACGCCACACTGCTGTCTGATACATTGCTCTCAAAACATGTTGCTTGAAAGCATCTTCAGTCGGAGGTAGCTGTGCTGCTGATGCATCAGTTGTGGATGCCAAAATGTATCTCAGCTCATCAAGGCTAGTGCATAGGCTTCCATTCTCTTTTCTCTTTTGTCCATACAGATGGAGGGCATATTTTCCTGCCACAGGCAATGCTTCTTCCAAGCTGTTAGATAATCCAAAGTTAGACATTTCTTGTAAATCAACAAGGTTGGTCTTCAGCTTTGTAAAAGCGGTTGTCTTTCCTTTCCTGTAAAAGCTGCTTGTGGTGTCACAGCCAGTGAGGGAGTGGCACGCAGGTAGACATTCACAGAATTTAACTCCAAGTTTCTGTGAAATAGCACAGATTGGGACAAATCTTTCTCTCGGACCATGTCCAGAGTGCATGTACACAGTAGATGAAGCAAACATTCCTTTGCTTGAATAGTAGACAAGCAGTACCAGTACATCTGTGTCATTGCATTTGATGATAACACGAGAATGTGACCTTGCGAGGTGTATTGCATGTAACACCACTCTTGTATCAGCCTCCTCCTGGTTACTGTATAGGTCTACTAAGCTTTCAACCCCTGACTGGCTGACCATCTTAACCTCCTCACCATTTTCAAAACCTCCTGCCAAAATAATGGTCTTCTCTGCTGAGATTCTCTGAGGTCCTGTATCCACTATGTAGTTGCTGACAAAGCTACACAGGGCAGCCTTGTTCCCACTGCACTTCAGGTATTTTCTGTAGTTAGGAACATTTGCTCTTCCTGTAATAACATATGTAGGTCTCTTAACCTGAACTGTGCCTCTGCGTTTCCTTTCAAGGTCTTTTATTGATGGCGAATGGTCATATCTGTCAAAGACTATAGCCACGCAGCTGAAGCCCTCCTTTCCTGTTAAGGCTGCAGTTTTCCTCCAGATGCTTTCACCTAGGTCACTGAATGTCTGGAAGTCTGAATCATGGAGACCCTGTAGAAGAGCCATGCCATCAATGATGTACGCAGATGGTTCCTCTGAATTTGGCAGTTGCTGTATCTCCTCAACTACAGTCTCAATTTTCTTAGCAAAGTCAGCCTTTGTTGTTTTCCTCCTACTTCCATCATCATTAAACAATGATGGGGGGACAGCAGCAAGTTCATGAGACATCACAGTTTCCATCGACACCTCCCTCTGCTTGGAAACAGCAAGAAGCCTTCGGAAGAGCACATCTGAATCCATGTGAACTTTTCTTGTGCCAGCCTCAAATGACTTTTTCATGTCTTGGAAAGTTGCACAGTGTTTTCTATTTTCACGGTCCCAGAAGCTCCGTGATCTTGTGGATTTTGCCAGGCGTTCCTCAATAAAGACTGTGTTTTGCTTTGCACCCTCTTGGAGGAAACATGAAAGCTCTTTTGCAACCTGACCTGTGACAATGTTAATCAGTTCCTCTGGAATGCTATCAAGGTTGAAAGGATTCTGCATCTCCTCCAAAATTGCCATTATCTTCTGTACATCCCTTTCATCTCTGTCCATTCTGGATGAGCCATGTTCCTGATGGGCTTTTGAACTCTTCTCATCAGTGTCACAGAGGTCTTTCATGGCATCCACATATGCTGTGGTTACATGTCTTGTCATCAGCCATCTTGTGAGAGCTACCTTTCGTAATGTAAACCCAACAACTCCACCATGACTTTTTCCCTCTCGATTGATGGTTTGCTCCAGTGCCTGATCAGTAGCCACACAGTTGAAGCTTCGCTCCTCAGACCGGTGGACAACAAATCCTCCATGCTGCATGAATGCATATGCTTCTGGCTGTTGATGTTCAAGGGATTTCATTTCTGCTACATACACTGGCATGCACTTTGCATAGTTTGACCTTCCAGCAGCTCTGAACCAAGGGATGACTTCGCACATACAATTCAGATGGAGTTGAAAGTCAGCTTCACGCTCAGAACGAAGAATCCGCAGCAACAGATCAGCACCTTTCAGGAAGTTCAACCAGTATGCAAAGTTTGCTGATTGTTTAACTCCCTCAACTGAGAACATTTGGATACTTTTATTGTGATAAGGCCAGTCTCCAATTCACTGATAATTGTCATTAGCATGGAATGCATGTTGCAGATCTCTCAGGAGCTGCTCTTGTGTTCTTGTCATTGGATGTTGCCTTTTAAGCCATGACTGCATCGCTTTCCAGAAAAGCCTGAACAAAGCTTCAGGGGTTAGTTTAATGCTCCTAACGCCTCTTGCCAGTTGTTTGCCATGAAGAATTTGTCGAGCTGTTCCCTCAGCATACACATCAGACTCAGTCAGTATGTCATTGAGGCCGCCATCACCATAGAGCTTTCCAATGCTTGCCAGGTAAGCCATGGTAATGTGCATACCTCCCAGTCTCATTGTTAACTTTCCTTGTAAAGAGGGTGGTTTGCTCCATAATATCTGTTGTGCTTTGCTATAGATAGCAAGGTCTGCAGTCACAAGGATGTGATGCTGTCCTAGTTCTTCAGCAAGTGCTACAAGCCGTATCATAGCTGTATATATAGTGGACAGATCCGAAGGTGATTCCCTAATGAAAGGCATGTAGAGAACACTGGCTACAGCACAGGAATTATCAGATGTGAAGGCATTGAATGCGGACCATGCTGGGACATTCTGTTGATTCTCATTTACATTCCTGACAAGCTTCCACACTAGATCTCTTCTGTCTGCTGCCATTGAGACTGCAGTGTTGGATTCCAGCATCTCAGGTTTGTGAAGTTCAGGTGGTTCTGGTCGCTTTGGAGGTTTGATGTACCTGTGATCAAAATTGAAATAAGAAGTTGCTTATAATCATATACATTACTTATAAAACACTGTTAGTCTTAACATTCATCCAGCCTTTTTATCATCCCAATAAACCAGTACTGTTACAGGTGATAGGGAAAGGATATTTACTATAACATAAAAATACTCTCTATCATATCATGACAATATTTTAATCAAATCTAAACAAAAACACATTTACCTGTGTAGTTTTCCTCCATCCAAGTCACAGGTGTTTATAGCAGCTAGAGATCTTTGCGAAACCCTTGCAATGCTCTTCTCTGCTGTGGAAACATGGCCTCTTCGGTACACAACAGTTGCCATAGCATGAGTTGTGTGCTTCCCATCCAGAGTGTCTTCGTTTTGGTCAAAGTTGTCAATGGCTGCATCAACAATCCCATGTTCAGACACATTGGAGAGACCATTAGGGATGTAAACACCTTCTGCCCTTGACATCTGGTCTGCTGCCACTGATGTGAGAAAGTGCCTAACCTCATCATAAGAAACACAGTGGCCCATTGCACTGAGCTCATTAATTAGTGTCTTGCTTCCAAACTCATGATGAATCAGAATTGCAAGTCCCAGGGTTATTGGTGTTTGAATGTGGCGACACTGTGCAAAAAGACTGTGGCAGATTGTGATTACACAAAGATTTTCTTTCAAAGATGGTTCCTCAACACATGTTTGGTGGTTTCTAAGAGCTCTTGAATCAACACACCAATTTACAAAGTCATACAGAAGGTCAGGCACATATTTGCTGCATTGGAGACGAGAGAGCTGATCACTGCTAACATAGAAATGACGTTCATGTTCAACATTCTCCATACTTCTCCTCAATATTTCTGCAGCCTTGCGTAAGATCTGGGTATCAGAAATACTGTCAAGTGTCTTTGGAAGTGTTGTCTCACAGTCATCTGTCTATTCTTCTCTGAGT